AGTTATGCCCCGGACAAGGAAAAGTAACAAAGGGCAATAACTCTGTAATTAGTCAAGATAGAGTTATGGTTCTTGTGCACTGCACTTCTTCTCAATGTCCTTGACCATTGTATGTAGTTATATTGAATTCCAACCATTAGTTTTCAAGTTATGCTCCGGACAAGGAAAATGCAACGGACGTCTGGACCGACCGACCGACCGACCGACCGACCGCCCGACCGACCGACCGACCGACCACCGGGTGACTCCTATATACCCCCCCAAACTTCGTTTTTGGGGGTATAATGATTAAACGGTACTTTCTTGTAAGAATAGACAGTTCCGTGATTTTAACAGCATGTCAGGGTGAAGTTATATGGTAGACATCATCTGGTATCTCGCCTCAAAATCCATGCTAATTTCAATAAAATTTTTGAAAATATATGTTAAAGTGTAATATTGTGAAGTAACCAAAAGGAAGCAATTTACACATTATCAATGGCTCTTACAACCCAGTAAATTACCAAAAAGAGGTAAAAATGTGCAAAAATAGCCCTAACTGCGCTAGAAATATCGTTATAAATGCTGAAAAAATCAGTCATTAATCGCACATTATATGTTAATTAATTCTCGAAAATTGAATCTTTTTTCTTTTCCTAAAATCTTAATACATTTTTCTCAAGTTTGATTTTATTGAACTATTTTGGCTCATCTGATGGCATGATGCTTTACATAATGTACGTATGTTGGTTGGATAAGTCGAACATAAGATACGACTAACTGCATTAAGAATAAACGCGGGAAACCAATAATTTATATGTGATATTTTTTAACCTAGCGGTTTTGTGTCGCTAATTGAACGTTTATGTATAAACCCAAGTATGCGGTAGGCTATGGTTGTACAAAATTTCCTGAAACATTTTATTACCGCTACCTATAAATCCACGATAAATGCACAGCTACACAACCTGTCATATGCTTACAGTTAGTTATCCGTTGTCAATAGCAAGGAAAGTCATTTGTTTGCTTTACCATAATCTCAGTCACATACACGAGTATGTTACAACATTTCATCACTACGAAATGTCTTTTTCTTAAGTTACTCCACCGAACTTCAGGAGTTGAATCATATAATTCAGGTGAAAAAGTACTCTTAAGTAGCAGCCTGTTTTATTAGGCGTTATCAAACACATAGACCACTCGGTCACAGCCTATTGTAACTCTAGACTTAACAAGAGGGCCATGATGGCCCTGAAATCGCTCACCTGTACAAAGGCCCCTGGGCCAAGGCCAATTTTAAACCAGGGGCTTTTATTTGAACAAACTTGGTAGGCACCCATTAGAAGATGTTTCATGATAAATATCTATGCTCTAGCTCTTAGGGATTTTTATAAGAAGATTTTTTAAGTTTTTACTATATACATGTAGGGAAAAACAATGACCCCCTGGGAGGGGCAAATTTTGACCCCAGGGCATTTATTTCAACAAACTTGGTAGACACTGACTAGATGATGTTTCATGCCAAATATTTAAGCTCTAGCTCTTTCGATTTTCTAAAAGAAGATATTTTAAGCTTTTTTCTTTCGGTTGCCATGGCAACCAGAGTTCTGCTTGGAATTTAATTCTTTGAACAATTTTAAAAGTTGACTACCAAAGGAACATTCCTGTGAAGTTTGGATGAAATTGGCTTAGCAGTTGATGAGAAGATGTCGTTTTAAGTAAAAGTTTATGGACACCGGACGAAAATCGATCACAAAATTTTACCATTTCACTCTGTGACAGGTGACCTAAAAATACTAGCAGACTTTTATCTATTGCAACAAAAGAGGTTTTCTACAGGTTATCTCTTTAAGCTACTGGGTGATGATGATTTTCAAAGTCTCTGTGACCTTGACCTTCTTTAAAACCATAAAATATTATAAGCCTCTAAAGACAATCAATGACTGATTGGTCAAAGATATATAGAGCATAAACTGAGAGGACTACAAGTTGAAAAGCCTAGCCATGTCTTGGAACGTCATCAATGTGTTATAATACTTAGCTTAAAGTTTAACAAGGAAACACTTCCCCGAGACACGGAGGAGTAAATATGACTACTAAAACATTTCTTGTAACATACAGATGCAGTGATTTTTTTGTATTTCTATCAAAGTCCATGAAAAGTTTAAATTATAATGTCTCACAGCTCTTCAATTGGGCAGTACAAAATAAAACTTACTTTTTTAATTTATGACATTTAATATGTAATTTAATTCTTCAATACTTCAATTTTAACAATTCTAATACACAAGGGAAATCATAACAAAAACACTGAAATAAATTACAACCAGAAAAACTGCAATTAATTAAATAATTAATTAATTTAAATACTTTACATCAACATCAGAGTATGTAAACATGTTATAGAAGTCAGTATAAAAATGCAACCAAAGGATTTTTTAATTAAGATGTACAATTTATATATTTTAGTAATAGTAATTTAGTAGAAATCTTCTAGACAACCGCACATGCCCAATTTTTATTCTCTAGACCAAGCAGTTAGAGACAAAAATGTATAAATGCAATAGCAAAAATGTTTAGCAAATCAAAATTAGTTGACCTTGGTTATGATAAGAGTAGAGTCATTTCTGGGAAATACTTTTAAAACAGTATCTGATGCTTTTCATAAGGTTGGTTTTAATTTTGCCCTTTTTTGTTGCAATGGCACCCATTATGCATGAGCAACATCAAATAAAAATAATTTGATGGTCATCCATTGATAATTTCTGTGCAATATTATTGACAGGCTAGGTGAGCTAAACATGATTGCTCTTTTTACAAAAACAAGAGGGCCATGAGTGCCATTATATCGCTCACCTGATTATTAAGGCTCTTAATATTGTTAGATATGAATTAAAAGCAGATAAAATGGCATAATCCTAAAGTGATATCATAATGTGAAATAGTGCAAATGTAAAGTTAACAAGGTTTTTCAATATATGCCCAGTGTCACCTAGTTTTTGACCCCTAGTTTTTGACCCCATATGATCCATATTCCAAAATGACATTGAAATCATTTAAACAACCTTGACGACAAATTTCCAAGATATTTCAGCTGAAAATATTTCATTATAGTGTTAACGTGACCCAATTTCTGACCCCAGATGACCTATATTCAAAGTTGAGCTAAAAATCATCATGACAACCTTCCTGACCATTTTCCAAGATATTTGGACTAAAAGACCTGTAGAGTGTTAACCTGGTTTTTCCATATTTGGGTTGTGTGACCTATTTTTTGACCCCATATGACTCATATTTCACCTTGAGCTAGAAATCATTAGAACAACCTTTCTGACCAATTTACAGGATATTTGGACTGAAACAGTAGCCACTAGAGTGTTAGCAAGATTTTTCTAGTTTTGGCTCCTTTCACCTATATTTCAACCATGGTTGAACTTGTGCAAGCAATTACTGGGACAAACATTTGGTGACCAAGTTTGGTGACAAATGAGGCAAAAATGTGAAAACTAGAGTGTTAACAAACTAAATGTGGACAGACAACAAAAGACATTCAACAATCCTAAAAGCTTATCCTGAGCAAGCTCAATTGAGCTAAAAAGTGTATGTGTGTATGAAACCTTCAGTATACACATGTCATCACAAGATCTAATATATATATTAATATCATAATTCGACAAAAGGAAAATGCAATGTAGTAAATAATGTTTTCATGACTAAATGGATTAACTCCCTTTATTAAACAAGATCAAAATGTTCTTATCAATAAAATACATTCCTAAATGTCTGAAACTGATACATGTAGGTACCAGCTACTGTTCACTTCAACAGCTGTAATAATATATACAATGTAAATTGATTATTACAAAACAGGCAATATGTGCCTATAGTGAGGTATATCAACAAGTTTCTTATTGCTTACATAAAGCATGTGTTTCAAGTGTGTAATGAAGAAAATTATCATTATTTGTTTAAAAATATCAATACATTTCAGAGGTAACCAACTTCTGTATGGATTAAAAGTTATATAATTTCAAAGCTTTAAAAAAATAATTTATGGTAAAATGAAAAAATAATGACACATGATAAGTTTAAAGCAGAACATCTCCAGAATTGTATTAATTCTTATAGAAATTTAAAAATGTCCTAATATGTAAATATAAGTTATCAGATGTATAAGAGAAATTATATAACCCAGACTTAGGCAGTTACTTTCTACAAAAATTAAATCAATTTGTCAAAATATACAGAATGTATTCTTACTAACTCTAAATAGAAATGGAGTAGAACTTTGGTCACAAAAACATGACATCTGGCCATATTTTGCATTATACATGTACATTCTGTTTCACCTGGTTTGTGAATACTTATATAAAACTTAATATTAATATATTTTCATAAGTCTGACTTTTTGAAGATTTTATATATTAATTACTCTTATGGAGACGTGCCACTTTAATGATACATATGTGTGCAATTTCATAGGATATTTCATAGGATTTCATGGGAGCAAAAATTTACAAAAAATTGTAACAAGAGTAACGTGTACATATGTATGTATCAGGCTTTAAGGAAAAAAAAAAAGAAATTTATACATTCAAATGAATTTAACAATGATTTATACTGAATAAATTAGACATAAACATAGCCATTTTACAGATCTAATATCCCAGAAAACATCCTTAAATTCTGAAGCATGTCAAACAAATCACACAACATACTTATAATCAACAAATGTATCATGAAAAACAAAATTATAAGAAGTGGAAGTTGGGTATATAAAACCTTACTCAGATCTATGATGTGTCAACTAATTTGTTTCTCTTAAGTCACCAAATTCTGTAGATAAACTGAATGATGGTTTAAAGTTTTCAATTTAAGCCTATTCAAAGGCTCTACTGTTGGTAGCTAAATTTTTGTACCCTGATATTGAAATTCCTTATGCTGGGCTATTCAATTCAGCAAAGTTAAAGTATACGAGGACAATTGACCTCTGATCTAGTAAATAAAATAAATGAAAGTTATCATTGTTGAATGTGTTCACTGACATGTTCTGTTTGAGAAGACACAACTTGGTATGGTTGGCTAATAACTTCTTTTCCATGCACTTTCATCATGTGCACGACATAAGCGGATTCTAAAGGAAATTTCTCCTTACAAATGCTACATACATTTGAACAAAGTTCCTCTCGAAGTTTTTTAGCTGTAGTATTCAAATTTAGAGCTGCCTCCCCATCTATGAAATGTACTTCAAGCATATGTGTTTTGTATTGATCTGATCTATGGAACGTTCTTTTACACACATCACAAGCGAAATCGTACACACCTTTATGAGATGTCTCATGTGTTTTCCACGTTTTCTTATCTTTAAACTTTTTACCACAATAGCAACATTCTAATCGAAAACCTTGATGCTGAATAGATACGTGAGATCTGTACACACTTTGTTTGATGAAAGACTTGCCACAGTATTCACATGTAAATGTTTCCTTTGTGTGTATAGATCTCATATGATCACTCAATGAATTTTTTAATCTGAAAGACCGTTGACAATGCATACACTGGAATGGTTTTAAGCCATGTTCTGCGACTAAATGTTTAGCCATACTTTTATCTCCTTTACATTCAAAATCACAATGACTACATCTCTGTTTTGGTCTGTAAGGACACACTAGTTTATGATGATTCATTTTCTTCTCTGTCTGATACACTTGCTCACAGAATGGGCATTTAGACAAATTGTCAGCTTTATCTTCCAATGTTTCTATGTCTTTATCCCCACTAAGCTCTGGATTTTCCATTTTAACTAATTCATTATTTATCCTCTCTAAGTAAGCTATTCTTCTTGAACAAAATTTCTTATGAACATCCAGTAATGACTTAGACTTAAACCTAGAGCCACAACCCTGAAAGCATTTCAAAGTCCCACTGTCTTCACATTGTTTCATATGATTCATACAGTCATGTATGTTGAAAAAGCCTGTTCCACAATTCTCACAAATGTAATCATTTTTAATAGTCTTCTTTTTTGGCATTTTTTGTCTTTTCTGCCTAAACTTATTGTCAGTTACAATTTCCGAGAGTACATTTTTACCAGAATTATATACACATTCATTTGATATTTTAGAATCATCTAGGCTAATGTCACTGTTCATAAAATAATCAGCATCTGAGTCAGCAGTGAGAGTATCTTCAGAAGCACTGGTGCCATCAATTTTAACAATATCTTCACTAGTTGCCCCACCAGTCTTGTGAGATTTACAATGTTCTTTCAGGTCTTGTTGAGAAGGTAACATTTTATTACATACCATACAATAAAACAGAAGCTGCTCACTTGGTTGACCAGGAGATGATTTCCAAACAGGTTCTGTCAGATTTTCAGAAACTGTTTTAGACAGGAGGTCCAATCGCTTGTTGATGACAGTGGCACTTTCACTTGACTCATGATTGTGCTTTTTGTGTGTGAGAAAATGCTTTTTTAAGGCATCGACAGAATGGACTGATTTCTGGCAAACTGAACAGCAAAATGTCAAACTTTTATCTGTCAATAAATATCTGTTACCAAATTTTGATTTAGGGGTATTTATATCTTTTCCCTTACTTTGTAATTTACTATTACACTTCAATATATCCTTTTCTTCGCCGTCATTGGTTGTATCATAAAACTTCTCCTTAACTTCCTTAGTAATATCTTCTACAAATTGTTCGACTTTAAAACCAAAAAGGGAAAGTTGCTTTTCACTTATCACATCTCTTACATTTTCACCATTTGTACTGGCTTCTTTAATGTTACTCTCAATATCCATCATTTCTTGTTCAGAATCATCATTTTCACTCTCTACTGACAGTTCTGTTACATCATTAATAATAGCTTTGTGGTGACGTTTTTCAGATTTATGAAGCCTTGAAATGTCAACAGATTTGTTGTCCTGAAATTGTGTGCTTTCTGCATCAGTAGCTTTCGGAGTCAACTTTACAACAATTGTACTAACCTTTTTCTCTACTTGATTCTCTTCAACATCTTTAATTGCATAATCCTCATTTTTATTTAAAATATTAGGACTACCTCCACTGACATCTGGGACACCATGATTTGTTTCTCTATCTACAACATTCTTTATTCTGTTCTCAGGATATATCTGCAAACCTTTATCTTTATGGGACTCATCATTGATTTCTAACATTTCATTGTCAACTTCTTCTTTAATACTTGGCTTTATTGTTTTCCCTGTCATAGTTTCCAGGTACTTAACAACTGCAGGATCATTTAATAATTCTGGGACAATATTATTTTGCAGCTCATTTTGTACATTAAGTGAATCATCTGGTTCCTTGTATTTATAAACCTCCATTTTCCTGCCAGTTTTTGCCCCTCTTGCTCCTGAGTCTACTTTCCGCCTTTTAACTACAGGATGATCTGGATCAATAAAGTCTTTACCAAAGCTCTCTTCAACTTCTTCTTCTCCATCATTGTTAATAATATCTTCCAAGTTCAAATCTTCATAACCTGGAACTTCATCAGTCTCTTCTACTGTGGTCTGACTCTCATTTATATATCTTTTAAAAACAATTGAACACTCACACGATATTCCTTCCATACCATTTTCTATGAATGGTAATTTAATTGTACCTATAACATCTCCTGTCTCCAATGTTTTATTTACTGTTACTTTACCGTTGTCATCAATCCAACCAGCAGCACAATTGATATCTGTTACAGACTTCTCTCTTTTCTCAATACTTTCTGCAACATTAGCAATCATCTGAATGCCTGTTAAATGATCAAGTGGGGATATACCTATTCTATCCTGAAGGTGTGGGGCAACTGAATAGTTCTTTGATTTAAAATCAGGCCTTGTAGATTTATCATATCCTTCAAAATGAGATCCAATGTGATTATTACCTTGAGCATCTATGGTAATGACTCCAGGGTTAGGAGAGGAATTATAGGAAACTGCCGGTACAAAGGCATAAGGAGAACGCAGGCAAGCATTTGCTGACTTTGATGGTGATGGAAAGACTGCCACTTGATTCTGGAATAACAATGGAAGCAGCACAATAAAACAATCATATACATGTAGGGATACATGTGCACATACAAGTATTCAGCAAAAGAGGGCCATGATGGTCCATTTATTGCACATCTGCTACTAGGTTCACTAAGATGACACTTGTATGAATAGGAAAATAACTGTAAATTTAATTTCAGTGCAGTTGTCCTTGATGTAAGGTCAGTCAAATACCATCAAGGTATAGGATCATACAGCAATTAAATGCTCTCAGAGAGTTGAGAAAATCTATCTTTAACAAAATAAGTCATCAAAAGTCATGAAAAGAACAAATTTCTTTGGCCAGTTTTATCTATTTTTTGGTCAATTAATAACATGGCGGGTCATTTACTTAACAGACTTTCTCGAATTACTAACCAGTAAATACACGAACCTATGTCTCTGAAAGTGAACAACTACTTCTACAACTACAAAACCTCACATGATTTCTGACAAGACAAATGCTTATCAGATTCAATATCCAAGAAGAGATATGCTTGGATCAAATCAGTGACCCTGGATAACAAATCTAATGCTCCATCTATTGAACAAAGCATATAGACTTTGTGTCATGCTAATTTTAACACATCAGCTAAGATTTAAACATTCTATATGGTCTACTTCACCATTTTACATAAAATATATGTACCCAATATCTGAACTTAGAGCTTTTTGGTTTCCTACAAAGACATTTTAATGTTTTTTTTCTATAATAACTTAAGTCTGCACCAACAAGGTGATGGTCATTTGGAAAGATCTCTGAGATGCCACTCAGTAGAGTATTTCAGGCACTAGTGGTACACCAGAGTAGAACCATCTACATGTATCTTCTGCATGGTGGATAGCTTCCTCACATGAAAGAACCGAAAGTCACTGGTGGGATTCAAACTCATAAAGGGGCAAGAGGTTCAAAGTCAGTGACTTAAACTAATCTGAGTTATGGAGTTTCTGCAGCAGAACTCTACTTTATATTCTAAGTCAGCAATAAAATGTGTAATCATACCTGTTGTTGGTCTTCATGCACAGGTTCTACTATTTTTGTAGTTTCATTATATGTGAAAGTTGAGTACTGGTCATGTAGTAAAATGTGTTCTGTTAACACATTTAATGTAATCTTCATACCACACAACCTACATGTATAGATATCAGCCATCTTACTGCTCTAACACATCACCAAGATGTAGTGCCTGTAATTTACATAGTGTTATTCTTATTATAGTATTATTATGATGTTTATCTACTCCATAATGATAATTCTATTTACAGACATGAAATAATATTGCTTTATAAATAATGATATATCACTTATAACAATGATGTCAATGCCTTTTGTGAGTTTAAAATGCTTGACATTAAATGATAAATATGAAAATATGAATTGATTCTAAATGATATATATATATTGATATAGAGTTACAATAAATATGTCTTGGAAAATAGTCTATACAATGTTTTAACATCTATCATACACTTCCACTTCTTGTTTCCAAATTTGTTGCCTCTCGTATATAACAAAAATAGCCCTAAATGCATAAGTCATGTAGTAAAAATATAGTGATCAATACTACAAAATCAGTCATTAATCACATATAACATGTCAATTTAATATTCAACATGAACTTGATAAATGTGGACTCAAAATAGCATGTTTATAAAATTTTATGATACATCTATTGCTAATTTACTAAACATTGGCATTTTACAATTCATCCTATTTGATCTGATCATTTTAGCATTGTATTCCAACATATGGTTGCTTCTTTGCAAATCAGCAATTTTTGACATTTTATTAACTTATCATATATTTTAGTATAATATAGTAAAGTTTAGTTTCATAAATTAATGGAAAAAAAAAATTAATTAAATTTAATCTTGATTAAAAATGTTTCTTAGTGAACACAGGGCAAGATCTCTTGGTCACCATTTTTACTGGCACCATTCCCCTAGTCAATGTTTTTTTTTCTCCATAATGATGGGGGCGTCCGTGACCCAGTGGTTAAGGTCGTTGACTTCAAACCACTTGCCCCTCACCGCTGTGGGTTTGAATCTCGACAGGGACTTTGGATTCTTTCATGTGAGTAAGCTATCCAGCTAGCTTACGGAACGTTGGTGCCTGAAATAATGCACGGAAGGGCACCTGAGGTCTTCCTCCACCAGTAAAGCTGGAACGTCAAGATATGACCTATACTGTGTCGATGTGACGTAAAACCCAAAAAAACAAAAAACAAACAATCCATAATGATATTTGCAAGAGTACTGCTCTATGCTTTATACAAGATTGTCAAGTGCTAGTTTACTGAACTGTCTGTATGCTGAATGACATTGCAGTTTAACTTGTATTCAAGTAGCTACACAGTCTTGATTTTTTTTACATTTTTTTATATTAATCAATATTACTATTGTATGAATGTGCAGCAAAAATGCTAGCAATGCCCCCCTACAAGTTAAATCACTTCAATCAGGCAAAGATACATTGTACTGTCGTTCCATCAGAACAGACACAGACAATGAGTACTGACTCATTTTATATACATTTTTTCCCCAAAATGTCAACCTTGGAAAAAGACATTGCCCATCTAAAATTATCTCTATATCTGTTTGACAGGTCTCACTGTCTGGTACGTGAAACGGTGCAGATTTTCCGTGATATGGTGCTTCCATGTAATATGGAGGAAGGTACACAACTAAAAGGTACATGTCATTTTATATTTTTTTATTTTCTATGTATTTAGACAAATCCGTTTTATATTGTAAAAGAAGAATATTTGCATGTTTGTTTGTTTTGGGTTTTACGTCACAATGACACAGTATCTATAAATAGGTCATATCTTTACTGGTGGAGGAAGACCTCAGGTGCCCTTCCGTGCATTATTTCAGGCACCTGAGTAGAACCACCGACGTTCCATAAGCTAGCTGGAATATTTGCATGTAATGTAAAAATAAATTCACTATAAGATCAATACATTCACAATGTATGTAACATATGAAATAAATGATTTTTTACAAAACACCTTTGTAAATAAATGTACATGAAATTTGAACCAAGAGAAGTGGTAAATTTTTTAGTCAATCTCCGTACAAGAGACACTTATATTGAAGTGAGTACTCTTGTTTATTACAGTAAATGTATAAAATCATCTGTGCAATTTAAACATTTATTCTGTTAATTTGTTTTGTCGAAATCTGTCTACTTTCTGTTTCGTCTCGACACCGTTGCAGACACTAAGCAACAGTGCGGACTTTCCGTAACCGTTGCTTAATGTCTGCACCTTTAGTAACGCAGTAACCTATGGTGATATAATACTGCAAAATCAGTCTTACACCACACATAGGATGTAAAATATAACTTGGATCTTCAATATTTTTACCTTTCTAAAATTTTATTACATTTTTCTCAATATTGATTTTCTTGAAATATTTTGGATCACCTGGAGGCCTGCAGCTTTATGTATATAAAAACAAAGATAGTTGTCACTCATATGAAGTTATTTACAGAATTATCTTTTTGATCAAATTGAAAATGTTCAAAAAGCAGCTATTGCCATAGAAGTATAGTGACACCCTCTCTTGCGAACATCATGCCATGGCTTTTGATTTTACTGTGTTCTAATATGTAACTTAAATGTTATTCATAGAGGCTTTTAATAGACTACATTATATTCTCCTTCTTTCCTAGGACTGTATACCATAAGAACCACCTACCACCTCTCCCTTGCAGTTGCCAAACTCCCTACCCCAGAGACGTTCTGTGCAGCCATAGCTGCTACATGTAGCTAGCAATAAATATGAATCACCCTAGTTTTCCAGTCCCAACAAGGATAAAATATAGAGTATTCGTCTTTTTGGTTGAGTGTCCACCATTTAATCAAGAGGTCCGGTGTTCAAAACCTGGTCACTGCCTGAGGATGATTCAGGTTTATAATAGACATAATGTGCGCATAGGTGCGCATGATCAGAAATCTGATAGATCTACTGGCCAAGTAAGTCATTATTGGGAGATATTTATTCTATTTTTTACTGATTATTAACATTAGCCCGTCATATAAGGATAACATTAATGTTAGTCGGCTGTTATATATCCTATCAAAAGTTTAAATAAAAGCACATTCTACTTCTGGGTCGATTAAATTTGAGTACGAAAAATTGTTTCAAGCACAAGTAGGAAAATACAATAAGAATTACCTAACATTATCGGTCGGTAATTCAACATTACCTTTCAATGACTGTTTTAATGAAACTCTACTTGACTAGAGTGACTTTTGAGACATTTTGTTGATAACCATCGCCGTACACTGTTTGGTGTCCATTTTGTTTGTCGTGACGCTCCGGAAAATTCCGAATGATCACGATCGCCATAAACCAGCATCGTTTATCTCCCTTTGGCAACAAAGGTGCTAACTTAAAATTTGTTTAATCATGTTATTCATGTAATATTTTATCAATATATTAAAAAAAAAATAGAGATTTTTTTTATTTTTCTCATAAAAACTTTTTTTTCCAATTTTTTTTTCTTCACAAAAATCATTTTTTTAGATCTATATTTTAATTTTTTTGATGCACGTAGGCCCCCTATGTTGATATTATTTTACATGAATAACAAGATTTAACATATTTTAGGTCAAATCAATGCGACTAGCATCTTTGTTGGCAACATATATTTTGTGGAAAACATATCGATCAACATTATATGAATTTTCTATCTTCTCCAGTCCCCAACCATTAAGTTTTAACCAGTAATGCAAACAATTGCTAGATCACTCCACAAAACTATCCAAAAATGTCAAATGTCAACATATAACTGAGGAAAGAAACTCCTCAAAGGTTTAAATCCAAGCAAAGCCTCTGGCCCCGACCAGCTGTCACCAATGTTATTGAAAGAACTTCATACTGAAATTGCCGGGCCAGTTCTCACACACATCTTCCAAATTTCCTTAAAAACTGGTAATGTCACTTATGACTGGAAGCATATACAGTCATTGCCCCTATTTAGAAAGGCCCAAAATGTAAGCCTAGTCACTACAGGCCTATATTATCAACCTGCATTGCCTCCAAACTAATGGAGTATATACACATGTAATTGTCTCCAATATCATGTCTTTCTACAAAAAGCATGATATTCTCAGCAAATTCCAATAAGGTTTCAGGTCAAAACATAGCTGTGAAACCCAGCTTATCAGTTTCACCCAGGAAGTTCATGACAATTTAGAGCAAGGCCAACAGACCGATGTCCTTGACTTCAGTAAAGCATTTCATAAAGTCGACCATCACAAACTTCTCCTTAAATTACACAGACTAGGTGTTAGGCTAGCTCAGAGGTCATCAATTGGACAAGGTCATTTTTATATTGTCGCACCCAACAGGTCGTTGTCGATGGTCAAAACTCTGACAACCTATCAGTTCTTTCTGGTGACCCCAAGGCTCGGTCCTTGCCTTTTCCTACATGTATCTTACATAAATGACCTCCCTGAAAGTGTTAAGGGCAATCGGAACATCCTCGGCTATTATCTATAATAACTGACGAAGACTGACGGAAATGGACGGAAAGTTGCGATTGGGGCAAGGTTAGACTATTTGCAGACGTTACAATAATCAAATCAACCCAGGATGCACAAACCCTCCAAAAGGATCTCAACAGTCTTGAAAACTGGGAATCTGATTGGTCATGGAATATAACCCAGATAAATGTGAAATCGTTTGTATCAGCCACAAAAACCATCCAGAAGCATTCCTTATGATTTACATGGGAAACAACTAAAATCAACTGAGGCTGCAAAATATTTAGGTTTAACAATAAGTAAAGATCTATATTACAACATAACAGCAAAAGCAAATAATTCACTCAGATTTATAAAAAGACATGACAAAACTTCCAAAAAAAAGGTCAAAGAAACTGCCTACAAAACCTATGTAAGGCCCCAGTTAGAATGCTGTTCCATGGTTTGGCATCCTTGGCAAAAATATCTGGGTTACAAAATAGAACAAGTTCAATGATCAGCTGTCAGATATGTATACAACGACTACAATTACATCAGTAGTGGTATTTAAAATGTTAAGTGAACTTAACTGGCAAACTCTAGAGCAGAGGCGCAACATCAGCTCTATTACCATACTCCACAAAATCCAACACAATCTTGTGAGGGTCGACCATCATCATATGACACCCACTAGAAACCTGAACTACCTAATACCATACTCAAGGACGCAGTACCACTCCTATTTATTTTTCCCGTGGAATGGCCTACCCTTGTCCTTACAAGCTAGTCCCAGCTTAGACCTCTTTACTGGGCAGCTGCATCCTTTTTACCAGTCCTAATTCACCATTGCTTTTGACTTTTGATCTCAGTCTTGTAGTTCTTTTGAAACTTGCTTTTATCTTATACCTTTAAATTTGCACTTCTCAGATTTGTTTTTATCAGTTATTCGAATCCCTGACAACGCGTCTGCTTAGTACTGTAATCGTTAACGATTTTGAAGCAGTATGATGAAACTAATATTTACATAAATTACCGAAAATTTACCGAAACTAAGAGGGGTGGGGGTGGGGTAAATACCCCCTAGATGATCATTATCTTGCAACTTCAAGAAAGATTTTAAAGGTCTATGTTATATATTAAACTTATTAATGCTAATTAATTGCTACATTAAATGTATATATATTTCATGCAGTTCTTTTAAACTTAAATGTTAAGCTTTGCCTACTTAGTGTACTGACCAATTTACTACATTAAGATAAACTGTTTTAAAAATAAGGAAATAAACTGCTGAGATAAACACCTCATTTTCTCTACACCCACATCAATGTAAACCAGGTTATATGGGAAGGACAAAACAAAATTACTACTGCTACTGCTATGTACGTTTTGTTCGCATATCGGGAAATAAAGTGTTCTTAAACTTAATTTAAGTCACTCCCGTAATGTTAATCAATAGACATTATAAATATGAAAGCGAAAAAATACTCGTCAAGAGTTAAGTAAAAGATTATTAAGGAAAGAAAATGACACTTCATTTTAATGTTAAGAGCACTAGCTTCTGTTCATAAACATTTATGAAGAATTATTCAGAACTGATGAAAGTTTTTCCACTTAAAGAAGTAACACGTTAAAAGTAGGTTTCAAATGATTAGACTGTGTAGTTCAATAAATTAAGGATGATATGTATGGACATAATTAGAAGATGTAGATAAACGTAAAACATTCTTTAATGATGGAGAAAATATGAAAAAATGCCATTAACAGATTAAATACAAAGGAGAAGTTGGAAAATTCTTGGAACTATGATGGTGAAAGGTAACATACTTTATGCCACATTACAAAATTTTTCATTTGAATAATTGTATATTTATATAAATTACTCACCACTTAATTGAGATTTAAAATATATACGGTGATTTATATAAAGAGGATATTGAATAAGTGTATGTTTAATACTAAATTCATTGAACGAGTTTAATAAAACCATATTATATAAGCCTCTGGCGAGCATAATATTGTTTTATTCAACCCGTTCATTAGATTTAGTATTGAATCTTCACAAATATAATATTCTATTTATCAGAGGCCCAAAATAAGAACTGTTTACAGTGAAAAGAATCATTTTTATTCCTTGACGCGCATATAATGCTTACATTTAGGACGTGTAAAGTTACGCGATGTTGGTATAACGCAAATGATGTCACGTCAAAATATAGGTCTATGCACGACCTTGTAATACCCTTTTTAACGGCACGGGTGTGTGATACATACATACATACATAAATACATGCATACATACATACATACATACACACATACATACATACATACATATCACTGATCAAAGATGATGCGATTTGTAATATAAAATATTAAAAATTCAACTAGACTTTTTATGGGAGCACTGATATATCTGATAACATGTAAATTTTTTATATTACAAAAGTCACACGTTAAACAACAATGTGGTATTACTTCGATGAATTTAAATCCGGGAAGATAATAAGTTTACGCTGTTATTTGATATCTGTCACCAAATATTGAACGTCTTGTATATAAATCGTGTCAAAAATGCATATTTTCTTTCACTTTAGAACATTAAAATGACAAACAATTGCATATACCTTTGAATTTATATTTCCAGTTTGCCCATCGTCACCCTGCATCGATACATTTTATTATCGACAAGAATTTTGAATTGAAGTACATTATCAAAGAATGTTGCCTTGATAAGTCGAGGAACGGGCATTGTTGAAAAAGACTAAAATATACACACGTTTTACTTCAATGTCTAATGGACAATAAGACAAAATGTCACTCAGTAAGCTATCTATTTCATTGCGAGAAAAAGTAAACCCCTTTTCTGTGGAAGCAGATTCCCTTCTTAAAACGAGATGTATTTCCTGCAGAAAAAAAGAAAGACTATTAAGGTTTACAGACTTACGAAGAGGAGACCATATCTGTATGAATGGCAAAATGTTCATGCTTGGTATTGGCGGGAAACAAGTAGCTGCATACACACATCATGCGCTCGTGAAATCCATTCAAATTGTAGGCAGCGCCACTGCACTTGTGACTTTGATTCATTTCTATACTACGCCATACGATATGACCATTTGTATTCAAGAAACAACAGAAATTTTTGACCTTCATTATCATGAAATAAATATTATTCGATATCGATATAAAACGCATGAACCAGAAATTATCTTAGAACGGGCTGAGCGGCTATTAACTCAAAATAAGCAGGCGAAATATTCTGTATTTTCGTGTAATTGCGAACATATTTGTAATTGGTGCTGTGTAGGAAATGCGAAAAGCTTTCAAGCAGAGAGTGCAAAAGATGCTTTGTCTGGTATTTTATCAGGCATTGCAAACGTTGGAGGAAAGACCTTAGGCGTTGTTTGTAAACTGCTTTTTATGTCATTAGATGATGTTTCAAAGCTTACGTCATCTTATTTAATAAATGTTCCCTGGGGAACACTTGCAGTTATTGCAATTCTATATCTGTTATATGTTGTATATCAGAATATCAAACTTGATGAGGAAAGAAAGGCAGGAAACATTTGCTATGCCTGTGCACACCGTAAAAAGGTTGACATTTGGCTTCAGTTTATTGCTTATTGCGGGTTACAAGTCGGTGGACTCGGGTTATTATCACTGGTCATTTCTGCTGGAGCATCACATGGTATTGTGCTAGGTTCCTTAATTGCATGCAGTGTTTTATCATTAGTATGCTTAGCAAATGCTCCAAAGTTTCGAAAACTTTGCCTGACACCTTTCCAAGGTCGTTATCGGGAGATTAAAAGTTTGAGGGACATCTGGATTGGTGACGTTATTTCTTTCAAACAATGGCACTTGAGACATTCTTGCATAATAAGTGGTATAGAATTTTCGCCTGGAACAGTTTACAGACGGGGAAAAATCAAGATAATACATTATTCTCAACCAAGCACATTTGGTCGAAGGAAAATCATTGAAGAGGAAGTACTACTTGATCTCGAACATGACACTATCTTAGGACATGATTATTCGGGATATAATGTACATGATCCAGAAACTGTTGTTAATAGGGCGAGACAAAGGCTCGGTGAAACGAAGTTCAAGTTGACTTCCAATCGTTCTTGCCATTTTTGCCACTGGGCGAAAATAGTTGAAAGTACAATAGAAGAAAGTACAAAGGACTGTGATGACGTAGAACATGCAGTCTTTTATCTAAAAGAAGTGGACCCAAGAGAAACAACGTCTAAATTACCAGATCACTCTGTACATATCGACCATACAAGAGGAAGAAAGAGGGCAAGTAAGGCGATTCGTAAAATGTGTGTCCGGATAAGGGACGAGATAAAAGCAGGAGAGCTTATTGAGTATAAATCATGTGGACTTACACATAAAGCAATAACGACCGATGTACGATTTCATGCCAAGAAAGTTTCAGATGTGTTTGTTACACTTGTTCATTATGGAAACGACAAGAAAATCAAAGAGGAAACCGTTGAGTTTGATCTCAATCGTCAAGATGTTTGGATTCATAAATACCATCCTCTGTATCGATACAGTAAAGAGCATATCATACGTCGCGCTCGAGCCAGAATAAATGAAGGGAACTACAATGTTATATGTTACCGATCTTCTCATTTTAGCAAAGAAGTTGTGGAAAAGGGCCATGTTTCAACTGTTTTGGACATTAGGGATATCAAACCTGGCGACGCTATTCTATTCCCTGCCAAGTCATTTTTGAAAGAGGCAATTGTCATCAACGTAACCATTGGAGATTCAATACAAACTTCTGTTGGAGAACTAGACATCATTCATTATGCTTTTAAAAATTGTATGCCTCCTCTAACAGTAAAAGAAGAAACTATTTCTATAGATTTGCAGAAAGAAAAAATATGTGTGCGTAACTACGAAGGCTATATCACTTATCCTCCAGATAAAGTAATTAAGCGAGCGAAGTCAAGGTTAGGCGAGCAACGTCATTCAATTTGCAGGACAACTTCAGAAGATTTTGTACATTGGACGAAAGTTGTTCAATATCCAACAGAGATTACAGAGTTAAAAAAATTATCGGATACAGAATCACGCACTTCTCTGCTAATTCCAAAAGCTGGTGAGTACAAGAAAGGTTTGCAGCGTTTTGGAGTTTGGACATGGGACGAATTATTTCCTGGTATGATGGTAGAATACCGGGAAAACTTGTGTAAGACTCAAGGCATAATTTCTGACGTCGATGTAAAAAGTCAAACTATCAAAGTCATCAAATATGGTTCGGATGGAATTTTGTATCCAATGATCATCATGGAAAAGAGTGTTAAATTAAATATTCACCGTGATGATATTTGTACTTACCGTGGGCATCCAAGAAAAAGCTTTAAATCGAGTGTCGTGATTGCTAATGCTTTAAGACGATTAGGTGAGAAGAAAAATGGAAAATCTTCCTGGGACTTTTGTAAGGAATGTCTAGTCAAACCAATGCAACTGTAAATTAAACCGATCATATACCGATCGCGACAAGCTATGAGTTTAATTAATTAATACAACTTTGAATCTTAGTGCCGACGGTAACGTTTTCAACAATTTAGAAGTGTTCACATTAATACTTGAAAAGTTGGTTAAAAATTAAGTTTAAAAAAACTGTCTATAATAGATAGATAACGAATTTCTCAATACCTGGGGTTACTAAAATAATATGTTTATGTTATGTACATAAGGGGTTGTTTGAGAACAGTGATTTGGAGAATAAGATGCATTATCATTTTCGATTATAGAAACATTTTTAAGCTAAAATTGTGTTAACAAAAGCTGGTTGTCTCTTAATTATCATACGTCTAGTGTTCTGAAGCGTGATTTGAACCATATCGAAACTCTGAAGAAGATCAGAAAGAAGGTCGTGTGCATTTAATTATTTTTTGCATTCATTTCACAAGTTCTGATTTAGAAATTGTAATAAATCGATACATTTTTCAATATGATGTCTTTTGTTATGTTTTGACATTAAATTGTGCATACGTTATTCGTGGACAGGAATACGAGTAATAGACAAATTGATAGTTAGACGGAAGTGATTATTTAAAAAGTGAGGCATCTGTTCAAATAACTTACTATATATTGCGCTCACTAGACCTAAAGAAAAATATTTCCAGACCTGTGTTATGTCACACATTCTGTCGAGTCCTTTTATAGTTGGTGTTAAAATTGTAAATACATGTACATGTGCAGTGTGCGCTGTATGCTGATACTCCGAATATTTAGAAAATACAAGAAATTATCATATAAATGATGTTCTTATGTTTTCATGACCTTTTTTAGATTTATACATATGTGTCAATAATTATAACCGCATATCTTATAATAACTTAAATAACTTTTATATTCAATCAATCAATCAATCAATCAGCAATAATAAAAAACCTTTCTCGTAGAAGTTTACATAATTGGGTTTCTTAATTTAAACAATATGCTTCTTATTATTTCACTGTTCATTATAATAAAATAAAATAATTAATAAGATAAAATAACACGTCATAAGAATAACCACAAACAAAGAATATGAAAATTAAGAACCACCACACGGTACTCAGAATTACTGTCCGCCTTGAAAAAAAAAAACCCATTTAAATCGCAAATACAATTTTATATAATTGCCTTATGACTCACTATTCGCGGTCACACACTTTAAAGATCCTGTATGTTGTAATTAAGGTTGTTACCACACTTAATTGAAATTTTATATATAATTATGCTTCTAAAACGATTTTCAAACATCGAAGAATATGTAAGATACGTACTGCGAATATTTGTCCATATTATATGTAATCATCAAAAGATATGCATTCATTCCTTTATGAAAATTTTGACTTAAACTTTATGGAAAATAAATTTCTAATTACATGTACCTCCCTTTATTAACATGAAATATAAATTCGCTAATATCTTTACAGAAGTGCTTTTTGAGCTTACAGTGATGATACATTTTCATTTGAGCATTATATATATGATATAAAACCAATACAGGATCTTTAATTATAAGAAAAGCTTCGTGTTTTATTATCAATCGCTGTAACGGTAAAACTATCACTATTGCGTAGAATGACCAGCAGCTGAACAAAAAAAAAAAAAGATCTCAGACATTTTTTCAAATGTTCTGTTATTTATTTTGCGAACCAACTTCTGTATTAACCGAATGGTCTGTAATTTTTGTTAATATTTTTAGTCTATATAAATTTCACTCGGCAGAAAATTATAAGCAGTACATACAAAATTGTTACAATACAAAACACGACGTTGATCAACAGTAACATGACGATATCGTCACCGTACATATATATGCAGCCCACCATTTGACGACCACTGATCATGTTCACCCCCTTTCATGTGCCTTTAAATTATTCACCGTAGGCGTGAATCAACGGCAGTCATCGATGTACATAACCAAAACATATTTCGTCATCATCAAAAACGAGTTTATCAATTATATAATGTATTTAACGCATGCTAACAGCAGTAATGTAAATTTAAAAGTTTTCCCCGGATTGATAAGTTTCAATATATAAATATTAGTTTATGATGGACTTCATTTTGAAGTCTTTTTCTTACAATTAGCATTTTTAATACGAGAAGCGATATAAAGTCACACAATTACAAGAGATATATAGGCGAAATAAAATCATACAATTGCACGCGATTTAAAATCATACAATTTCAAGCGATATATTAAGTCATACAATTCCAAGCGAGATAAAATCATACAATTACAAGCGATATAAAGTCATGCAATTACAATTATTATTGATTCAGTTTCAAAAAAATGTGTAACCTTGGATAAAATAGTGTCATTTTTTTCTCTGATGATATTTTGAGAGTGAGAGCGTTATACATTGTGTCTCTTGATAATATTTTATTGACTTAAAAAAGAAATTCAGACTCTGCCATAGCTTTTGATTGTAAAAGAAACATACTCCCTGGCCACATTGCCACTCTTTCAGACTGTCAGTAGTTCAGTAGTAGTGTCGCAGTACGACTATAAGTGTGTTAAAACTTCTTTATCTGTTGAATTATCATTAGTAACATTTTAAATACAGCTAGAAAACCTTTCAAGTCTCACCTCTCATCACAGTCTCATCTTTTTACTCAAATATTATCTGCCTGGGAGGATTTTGCAGTATTCAGAGAGAAAAATGGACAGACAAACAGGTAGACAGATTGATGTTGTTATAATATTTTCATATAATTGCGATTGTAAATTCCGACAAATCCCGAAGTTAAACTGCTGTATGGTATGGGGGAATTCCGTAACTAACAGTGCGGAACCTACTTTCGTTTTAGACTGATGTGAGTACAATCTTATTTTTCATTTTTCTTCTGTTGTCTCCAAACAATGTCATGAATTTATCGATAAAGAATTAGTTTTTGTGTCTATGTATGCATACTCACGTATATTTAAACACATAATTCGAATGAATATAACTTTTGTTTTACATAAACTAGGATAAGATAAATATCATTCATTCATATAATAATTATATTATATTGTATATATATTTATTTTTATAGATAGTTAAAGACATATGTGGTCTTTTAATATTGATTGTATTAAGTTATATTTAAGTTTCTCTTAAGTTATATTTAAGTTTCTCTCTTGATATTTATTACACATATCATATTACAGCATAAATTATGTAATACGGAAAATCTACTTTCTTTTTCTTTTCCAGGTATTTTGTAAAGCTTACTTTCATTTTCTATTTTTTAGTAACAGTTAACAGTATATTTTTTCTATTTTGACAGCATTTCTAAAGTGCGTAAATTCAGTGTATAGGTTCAACATGGACAAAACCAAAACAAAAAAGATCTAACAACAAAAGTGTAAGTTGTATTTGGATTTTATTTAATTTTTATATAAGATTTTCTTCAGCATAATTCATCAGTTCTTTTTTGCATGATACAAACAATTTTCAGAGAAAGATCTACAGTACATATATACTTGCAAAAGATTAAATCTAGATATTAATTTGTGTCAATTAATATTTCTGTATTATATTGCACTATAAATGACTAGATCTGTAATTTTCAAAATTCTGAATAGATATGAGTGCACTTTGTTTCCTTAACCATAAACAGATAACCATTACATAATCCTTTTTTCTCTGCGATATTAATTCTAATTACTGTACACATTAAATGTTGTGGAAACATCTGTGTCATTTTGGCATTTCTTATTTAAAAAATCGTTGCTTCTCAAATCCATGTTTCACAACAGACAAAAGTAAATATTTGTATTTACAATTTAACAGAGCATATTTTACATGATCTACATTAAGAAATTGTCCTCCCTACTGCATGTTAGCACTGTTTTAATGAAAAGGCAATTTATATTATATATCTATAGTTCGTATGTCATAGTCTACAAGTTTTAATTCATTTATTCCCCTATTCCACATTTTTGATTCTAATAATCAAGATAAATACAATTCATTTTAAATATTATATGCCAGTTGAAGAAAGACTGATATAAAATGACACTGATATGAAATACTAATGTTTCACTGTTTCGGAAAGTGAAACAAAATAATGATAATTTATTCTTTTAAAGTAATTAACTCTTTGTATTTTCTATTCCTATAAATATCTAAATTAACAACAGTAATTGGTATTTTCTGAGTAAAACTAATTTTTGACTGACCTGACCTGGCTCAGGGTAAACTTTTAGGATCGTTGAATGTCCGTCGTTTAAATAATCGTCCGTCCACATTTAGTTCGTTAACACTCTAGTGATCACATTTTTGCCTAAATTGTCACCAAACTTGGTCAGGATGTGGTCCCAGTTATTGCTCGGACAAGTTCTAACATGGGTCATCTCAAATGAAAATCTAGTTCACATGAGCCAAAATAAGAGAACATTCTTGTTAACACTTCAGTGGCTTCTGTTTTAGTCCGAATATTCTGGAAATTGCATTTGATAATTTTTAGCTCAAGATCGAATATGGGTTACCTGGAGTTAAAAACTAGGTCACACAGTCCACATATAGAAATGCCTTGTAAACAGTCTAGAGGCAAATGTTCGGTCTAAAATTTGTCAGAAAGATTGTTTAGATGATTTCTTGGGGGTAACTTGGGGCCAAAAACTAGATCACACAGCCCAAATATGTAAAAAAAAACTTGTTTACTCTATAGAGAAAATATTTTGAGCCCAATTATACTGCAAATTTATCAAAAAGAATGTTTAGATAATTTCTCGGTGGGTCACCTGGGGTCAAAAACTATGTCACGCAGTTCAAATTATTGTCAAACCTTGTTAACTCATCTACAGGTAACATTTTCAGACTAACTTTCCTTGAAATTGGTCTCAATGGTACATTGGTAACTTCAATCTCAAGTTTGAACAGAACAGAACAGAACATTATTTTATTTTGACTTGTACATAGTACATAATCATCATCATACAAAGTGTGATAATACATTGATAGAAATGCATAAACAATACATTTTCAATACTAATCTTCAATGAATTAAAACAAACTTTAAAGACAATGTCACGTTACTTTAGTAATTATTCCAGAATGTTATTTCAAATTAACAAAAATTGATATTATAGTGTTGAGGATAAACTGTTTTAAACATAATTAAATAAACATGTTTACATAGCAGACATATCATCAGAAAAAATCGACACACAAAAATGTTGAATGGAATTTAGATAGTCTTTAATCAAGACATATATTTTCATAAATCAAATTTATCTGACAGAATTAACAATAGTATTTCTGTAATTTAATGATTGTTTTATATATTTTGCCAGATTAAATAATATATTCTTTTGATTGTTACATAGTAGTTCAATAAACTTTATCATGAAAGGTCTTTTATAGTAGTATAAATATAGGTGTGGGGGTCAAAAACTAAGCCACAGAGCCGAAATAAGGAAAAACCTTGTATTGTTAATGCTATAAATGTAATATTTTCAAATAAAATGTCCTGGAAATTAGCCAGAAAGGCTGTTTGTATGATTTCTAACTCAAGCTCGAATATGTGTCATCTGAGGCCAAAAACTAGGTGACATAGCCCAAATATGGAAAAAATAACATTGTTACCTTTGCAAATGTTTCAGATACAGATCGATATTAATGTTATTATATCAGTTTAAGATTAAGACATTACATCAACTTTTCATCCATAGTTAACAATATAATTTGTTCATTGTCATTAATAATCAGGTGAGCAGTATAACAATCACCATGGCCATTTCGTTTGAAAGATAGTAAAAATTTATAAAGCTCTTATATTTATATGATAGGAAAAACGTTTTCAGAAATCTGTAATATGAACATATTTGCTTCAAGTCCTTTAATTTATGTAACGTTTGTTTTAGTTAATGCACTGGTGTATCCAGGATAATAAGAAGTCAGAGAAAGTGAATGCATTCAACATAGTCTTATGTTTGCTGATAGGTATATATGTTGTTTATCTGATATATTGATAATAGTGATTCAAATTGTTCTATATCTTATTGGTTTACTATAGAAAAAAGAGAGAGAATAATTATGATTATTTAGTTATAGCACTTACCAAATGGAGATTAGGACCGTTTATTCCGGCCAATTGTTTTTAATTAAAAGGGTCTTGTGTTGGATTTTACTACTAACTTGCCTAATACGTTAAAAAAGCACTTATCTGTAGCGAATGTCGTAAATGCATGTATATAGGTTCTCAATGTTTGTCAGCCGGACTGTGAATAGTTCAAAATCAAACTTTTGTTATGTTCTTTATAAGTTTTATCTACTTTTAAATGCTCACATTATTTATCGGTTTATTCAAATAATTGATTATTGTCAAAGGAGCAATATTGTTTTATATTTCAGACAGATATACATGCACATGTATAGGATTTGCTGGGTTCAAGGGATATACCACCACCGAATAATACCACACTAAAAGAACCTTATATTTACGCAATATTCTTTATTTTACGATACCACCGGTAATGAAATGCGCACGGGTCTTTGTAAGAAGTCTGTTAATGTAATTGACTCTATCGAATAAGTAACAATGTTGAGTAAACTTTACAATGCTCTACGATCGGACGTTCGGACTAGTGGTCTGGATGGAGAAACAGAACTCGATGTAAGATGTGTATCTTGTTCGAGGAAAGAAAGACTTTTAAATTTTGCGGATCTAAAACGAGCAGACCACATTTGTATGAATGGCCAATACCTCGTTTTTAACTATGGGGATAAGCAAGTGTCAGCATACACGCATCATGCAATTGTTAAGGATATTAATGTTATCTCTCCTTCCTGTGCTGCTATTTCTATAATACATTTCTACTCAACACCATTCGACGTGTCGATTAAGATTCGGGAAACTTCAACGCTATTAGACTTGCATTTGAACGAAGTTTTCACCATTCGATATAGACATCCTGCACATAATGCCGAAATTGTTATAAAACGAGCAGAAGGACTTATAGAGCAAAACAAACTTGCAAAATATTCAATATTGTCTTGTAATTGTGAATCTTTCTGTAACTGGTGTTGTGTTGGTAGTGAAGATAGTTATCAATCAGAAAATGCTAGAGATACTTTACGAGCAGTTCTTGCAGGCATTGCAAATGTTGGTGGTAAGGTTCTGCGAGTTGTTTGTAAACTACTCATGTTGTCAGTTGAGGATCTGTCAAAGGTTGCTGCAGGAGCTCTTATTGCTGTACCATGGGGTGTTCTTGGAATTATGGCTTTGCTTTACCTTATCCACACAATTTACCGTCATTATCAGTTAGATAAAGCTATGAAAGCTGGGAACATCTGTTCTGCTTGTTGTTTGCGCAAAAAGCATGACCTATGGATTCAGTTTGCTGCATATTGTGTTTTTCAGGTAGGTGGTCTTGGCTTGTTGTCATTGGTCATAGCTGCAGGAGCTAGTTCTGGTATTGTATTTGGGGCTTTGGCTGTTTGTAGTGTTTTGACTTTACTATGCATTTCGGTAATTCCGAAGCTCCGACAGTGGTTTTGTTCACCATTTCAAGGACGATTACTGAGAGTAAAGAGCCTGGAAACAATCAGGGAAGGTGATGTTATTTCGTTTGATCATTGGAAAATATCACACGATGGAGTCGTAAGCGCTATCAATATTTGTCCAAATACGAGAAATAAAAGGGGTCAAATCACCGTGATACATTACTCACTTCCGTCTCTCTTTGGTCGTAGAACTATCGTCGAAGAAACCATTAAAATTAATCTTAGAAAAGATTTGATTTTCAGCCACGATTACTCTGGATACAATGTACATGAACCGCAAGTTGTAGTTCACCGGGCAAAACAGAGGCTTGGTGAAGCAAAATTTGGTTTAATGACAAATCGTTCTTGTCACTTTTGTCACTGGGCTAAAGTAAACGAGGAACTGAATGTTGAAAATATTATCGTACCGGAATCAGCAGAGTCCAGGCTGCTGTATTTGAGAGAGATTGACCCAAAAGATACAATTTCAAACTTGCCTCTTCAATCTATACATGTCGATCATATGAGAGGGAGAAAGCATGCATCGATGTCTCTTGAAAAGAAATGGGCAAGAATTAGAGATGAAATCAAAGTTGGCCAAATAGTAGAATTCAAATACCGACGTTCCTGGCATAAAGCTGTCAGTACGAACGTACATTTTGACAAGCGAATTTCAGCAAAGGTGAACATCACTGTCGTCCACTATGGTAAAATGGGCAAAGTATGCGAAGAAAAATTTACATTTAACCTCAACGTGGAAGATGTATGGGTTTATAAATATCACCCGCTTTACCGTTATGAAACAAGTGACGTGATCAGACGTGCACGGGCAAGAATAGGGGAAGAGAATTACAATACATTTTTCCATAGATCTTCACATCTTGCAAGGGAAATCGTAGTCAAGGAAAAAGACCCAGTTGTATTAGATATAGATGAAATCAAGTTGGGTGACGTAATTACGTTCTACTACTGGTCTTTTAGGCATGATGCAATAGTAACAAAAGTCATCCGTGGTGATTCAAAAGCCAACACCACTGGCGTTTTGAGGATAATTCACTATGCTTTGAAGGATCTTTTTGCAGTCCGGACCGTTAGTGAAGAACCTATGCCTATTGATTTGAGGAAATGTCTTGTTTATAAGAAAAGTTTCGATGGATATGTAACATATCCGGCAGATATTGCTGTAAAACGAGCTCGTTCAAGACTTCATGAGCAGCGATTCTCCATCAATGGAAACACATCGTCAGATCTTGTCCATTGGGCTAAAGTAGTTCAAAACCCAATAGTTGTTTCGAAGTCAAAAGATGACATGGCGCTTTTTTCTGGTATTCCGAAAGACCCATACCTTCTTGTACCGAAAGCAGGTATTCAATGTGAGGAGTTTCAGTACTTTCGCGCTAACTCTTGGTCTGATTTGTACCCAGGTGTTATAGTGGAATATTTGTATTACTTAATCTGGCACCAAGGTATTCTTTCCTACAAAGACGAGAGTACAAAGACTATCAAGGTGATTCACTATGGTGCAGACCACCTTTTTGCTACTCGAACAATAATGGAGGATACAATGAAGCTAGACTTGAGGTATGATAACATTTGGATATACAGAGGGCACCCAAGACGGTGTTATAAAGCAGGAGTTGTGCTTGAAAATGCCAGGAAACGTCTTGGAGAGCAAAGATGGGAACGTGGAAATAGATCTTGGGACTTCTGTAAAGATTGTGTGCTTAAGAAAACGAGTCAGGAAGTGTAGATAATCGTCGGAAGAAATGTCACACTTGTTAGGTGTCCTCAATGTTGTAACATATTTGGCATTGTAAATTTCAGCTCCTTTTTCATTATTTTTGGTCTATGATGTGAGTCAGTAATATAATTGTCTTATGATGGTAAGCAAGTTCCATTCAGAAAAATCACATAATTTGATTAATTGAAGTTTATTCTTATTGTTTGTAGGAAAACAATCAGAAATGCCTTTTTTCTATCTATTTACACATAAAAAGACAGAACAGAGGTTGTCTTGTTGAAAATTATGAAAATGTCTTTAAAAGCACATGGGTATTTCTGTAAGGATTGTATGCATGGAAAGAGGTTAGTGTTGTAAAGTGTATATACATGTATGTTACCTAAACGTTTACGTCGTTCTTGTTTTGAAGCTTTGGAATTGTTGTATATTTAGTATTGTTAGTTTATGTAGTCTGGAAAAAAACGCTGTGTGCCAGTGATTGCCTGTTTGGCAGTATTTGAAATTTAACGCATACTATGCTAATTGAGATTCTGGGTAGAACAAATAAATAGATCTCTGTCTTGACCTTCCTACAAATACAAATTAATTTCTGTTGTTATGTTTCGTTTCTGTGGAATGTACATTTGTATAAACTGTTGGTAATTGTTTAATACTGTCCGTAAACATTTTGCTGGTCGAACCCTTTGTCAAACAAATGACCAGAACTATTTCAATTACGTGTTGTACATTTGATGGCATTAAATTATTTTTATGTAAGGTATACATTTTTTTTGAATTTATTTTATTATTTGCTTTGAATTTATTATACATAGCTTTGAGTTTATGATATTTTATGGCATTGAGATTATGATAAATGGATATACAATTGATATATCAAAAGCGCTTCTAAGTCATCTATTGTTGATTTTTGTAATTGTTTACTTTAAATGTATAAGATATATTACAGCAGCTTTGAATTTATAATAATGTTAAGTATTTACTGTTATGTTGTGTAGCCGTGAGATGTCAAAAAGATGGTACACCGTTAAAGAATATGTGATACATTGAAAGCAGTATATCACCTTGTCAAAATAGTTATATCCTGTGTTGAGTTGTTATCAATTGTTGCTTTTAGTCAGACTTTATTGATATTATTATTATTGTTCTTTCATATACTTTTCATAACCCGTCTATTTTTCAATTATTTTGATCACATGTACTAATTAACTAATGTTAAGTTGTGTTAAGTTCAGTTTGTCATCCATGGAAATGATTATACAGTTTTTCAATTCTTAACATGATCTGAATTTTAAAATTAGACTATGAAATACCCTGTTGAGATTACGTTATTGTATGCGGTAAACTACTTGTATATGTTTGATATAGTAAAGTCATTAGTAAATAATTGTCCTTTAGCAAACATTGTGTTAGAAAACATCTTTATTAAACACGTCTGAGGAGCAAAATTGGGAGACAAAAATTTTGTTGTTAATACATGTTGTTCTAGATAGGTCAAATTTCTGGTGAAGTTTTTCTTTTGGAATAAATGATATTTTTGTGTTGCTTAACAGAGGGTCACTTCGCAGAGATTGCACTGTATATTATATTCCTTGAACTTATTTTATAATTGGATTTTTCGTTTAGGAAATTATTGAATTATTTATAAAAATTGTTCAATATATTCATTTTCCATTTCGATATTTGCCAATAAATCAATACATTTTATTTTCAAAGTTTATTGTACTTTTGAATAAAAGAAATGTACTGGTAAAATACGTATTTATAAATATTTTAATCAGTTATTTACAAATGCATTTCCAGTTTCAGATGATTTATAATAAATCATTTGTCAGTCATAAGTTGTATGACTGTATTCGTAGTTGTGAAGTGTGTTAAAGTGTGTTTTTTTCTCACATTTTATCGCTGTTTGACAGCAGTTGTATTTTTTTTCTTTGTTACGTAGGAGTTTATTTTTTTTATAGAACATTATGAATTGGCACCAGGACGCTTCCGTAAGATTTTCATATATCTACATTATCGGCTGAAATGAATGTTATAAAGCACAGCTATTAAATTGGTTATAAGTCATAATTTAATGAATCATTTTATCTATATTGAAAAACTTACGCTATCACATGTATCAAATGTTTAGACAAGTTTGATATAAAGCATATTGAGTAATTAAGGAACACATTTATTTTTATTCTAATATTCTTTATTTTGTTGGTAAAAGTTAAATTAACCAAATAAACTAACCTTTGAAGTACACTATTTTTTACGGATTTCCTTTTTTGTTAAAAATTGTACAATGTTAAAGCACAAAATTGCATAAACATTGTTTGATATTATTGCTGATATGATCTTACACTATATTTAAGTGTTCTGTAATAAACAGATATGTATAATATTTTACTATCTCATTTTATTGACATTTCTATTATTTTAGTGATATCTTCATTGTTTAGATTTGAATAATTTGCTTTTGCTTTATAATTAAATAGATAAAAGTTTCTGTTGTTAGATGTTTTCTTTTCACCATTAATTTACAAAAATAGTGAGCCATTTCTTTCACCATTTGTATATTTATATCGTTTTGTATATTTCTGAACATGCCTTCATTGTTTATTAGTTAAAGCTAAATCGGAGTCTTTTTAAGTTTCTAACTAAAACTATTTTGGTACAAAATTATTCTTGCCCAGCTTCTCAGTCAGCTTTTATGTGTTAAAAAATAGAGGATTTTGAATAAGTGTAGATTCAATAGCGAATTTATTGACCTAGTTTAATAAAATCATATGAGCCGCGTCACAACAAAACCAACGTAATGCGTTTGCGACCAGCATGGATCCAGACCAGCCTGCCTGGTCTGGATCCATGCTGGTCGCAGATGCATTACGTTGGTTTTGTCGTGACGCGGCTCATATTATGCAAGCCTCTAAAAACCAATAGACCAGAAAACACATGTTTGAGGAATATTAATGTGGCTGTGAAAAATACTGCAGCGGGAGCGCAATTTAGAATTTAAAAGTCAAGAGTTTTTTATGAGCTTTCCAAAACTTAGTCCTCCTCAGATGGAATGAACTGATGCCATTACTATACTAATACCGAGAACACACAAATTCGGCCACATGGGTGAAGGACGATAATGATAATATGTATCGCCAAATGAGCATTTCAAAAATATAACATGGAAACTGGCTGAAGAATGATAGTCAACTCAGGTTGACGTTTTCTATATTCGTGACTTTAAAGTATATTTCATGCAGTTCACTGTATTTTGACTATGTTTTTTTTAATTCAAATAATGATAATATAAATCAAGTATGACTGTCTAACAAAGAAAATTCAAAGCGACAAACTATTTTTCTAAAATCTTTTCTTGATGCAAAGATTCCCTTATGATAAGATCGTTTGACAATTGTTGTTTTATTTCAAAGTCAGAAGTTGAAATGGCCCTCTCGTCTGGTAACCGCTAAAATATTACCACCGGCATTCGATGTGAGATATGAGGAGTTTCAATACTTTCGCGCTAACTCTTGGTCTGATTTGTATCCATGTATTATAGTGGAATATAGGTATTACTTAATCTGGCACCAAGGTATCCTTTCCTACCAAAACGAGGGTGCAATAAGACTATTTAGGTGACTCACTATGGCGCAGACCACCTTTACTCTTTGCTACTTGAACAATAATGGAGGGCTTGACTTGAGATATGATAATATTTGGATATACTGAGGTTACCCTAGACGGTGTTACAAAGCAAGAAGTAATGCTTTAAAATATAAGGAAACGTTTTTCAAAAATGGGAAAAGGAAATGAATCTTTGGACTTCTTTAAAGATTGTATGCTTTAAAAGAAAAGTAAGGAAGTTTAGTTCCGTTTTATGCTAACCAGTCAGATACTGGGTTTTATCTGTAAAATAAAATCCATACAACCCAAAGCATATCAGCCACGGTGTGGTTGAGTGATACAGCTGTTCTTCTTCAACGTGTGGCTAAAACTTTCTTTAGATGGTCATTTAAATTGATTGAATTTATTATTCAACTATCCACCACTTAGGATTAAGCGTCAATTGGAACAATTCAAGTATGACTTTCAACTTTATATGATAAATGAAGAAAATCAACTTTAAATGATTTCAAATCATTGATTTTTCATAAACTTTTCCAAATCTTTGATTTGATTAACTTTTGGTCATAACACTTTTGACAAAATCTTCACGTGATGTAAATCAAGTATGACCTAATATGAAAATTTATTCGATTTCTGTAAAACTTAGTAATTAGTAATTTATACACAACATAATGAATATTTGGGCCTAATGACATTGTGGACAACTTGAAACTTGAAAACTTGATTTAACGCCTATTTCTACATATAGAATACATATTCAATGGCGTTGTACAGCTATATACCTTATATGTGCTACTCCCAGTGCTACCATACACAATACTCCCAGCAGTGCGACGGTCACAGTGATTGGGTCAATCCCCACCAACATGTAACAATCTACACACCTGCACCCCTGCACATGATAACACATGGGCTAGACTTTATTATATTATTGTACAATGAAAATAATAAAAAACTGATAGAAATATACAAACATGCACAAAACAATTAGGAACAGACAATGCCTTCAGCGTCACTTAAAAAAGTGCAAAAAAGTCCTTGAAGTAAAATGATTTCAGTTGTCTTTTGAAAATTTCAACAGATTCACATTTTCTCATATTAATAGGTAGTTCATTCCACAATTTTGGTCCTATCATGCTAAAAGCTCTGTCAGAAAAAGTCCTCTTCTTATTAAAAGGAACAATATAACAACCAACAGAGGATTCAGATGATCTTAAGGTTCGTTTTGACACTTGATGAGACAAAAGCTCTATAAAATATGATGGTGCGTTTCCTACCGAACAGTTATACATGTATGTCAGTATCTTGAAACTGATTCGTGCTTTTATCGGAAGCCAGTGCAGATCGAATAATGCCTGTTTAGAACTATCATACTTGGAACGACCTAACACCAGTTTGGCACACATATTTTGAATACGTTGAAGTTTGGATAATTCATTTTGAGATATGCCGTATAGAATGATGTTGCAATAATCTAAATGGGATATTACTAAAGATAAAACAAGTGTTTCAGCGGCTCCCTTTGTCAGATACTTTCGAATGCTCTTGATCTTGAAATAGTTTAACATAGCAGTTCTACACTTTCTTTTAATGTGATCTTTGAAATTTAGAGACTCATCCAAAAACGCACCAAGATACCGTATACAATGTTGTGATTCAATAACATTACCACATATATTGATTTCTTTGGTGTTACACTTATTCAGCTGTGGACGACTTCCGAAAAGAATAAACTCTGTCTTTGAATTGTTCATTTTTAACTTGTTGCTGTTCATCCAATCATTTATATGCACTGCACAGTCCTGGAGGTCCTGAATTGCGCTTGCTTCTGCGGTAGGTGATGGTTTAAAACGTTTATTTGCAACGTGGTCGTCGGCAAATCCGTGCACGGAAATGCAGGGAGGTACAATGCCAAAGATAGTTCCTGCGTACGTCAAGTAGAGCCAAGGGCCCAAACAGCTTCCCTGGGGGACACTACAGTCAAGTTCCCGTTCTGATGACGCATTCGAGTTAACACTCACTCGACAGCTACGCGGCCTCAAATATGAATCTATCCATTCCAGCGCAGTTCCAAAGACGCCATATTGACTTTCAAGAACATTTAACAGTATGTTATGGTCGACAGTATCAAAAGCAGCACTTAAATCTAGAGCTATCAGTGCAGTGACCTCTTGATGCTACATTGCATCAAGAATGTCGTTTACGAGTCTAAGAAGGGCTGACTCACAGGAGTGAAACTGACGATAGGCCGACTGATTCGTTGGAAGGAGATCGTTTCTGTTTATATGTTTATTTAGTCGATGAAGGGCGGCTTTTTAATCAATTTTGACAAGAATGACAAGTTGCTGACGGGTAGTTGGCAAATGTGAGTTCAAGACCAGATTTTTTCAACAAAGGCCTGACTATTGCCTTTTTCCATTTAGCTGGAAAAACACCTTGCGTCAGAGAAAGATTCACAAGCTGGGTAATCGTAGGCAAAAGTTCATTGAGAAATGATTTCAATACTTTGGTCGGCAGAATGTCACAACACCATCAATATGCGTAAAGTAATAAATTGTATAATTTAAAACTTAAAAATAAAAACTGCTAAAGATTTTTTATTAATTCATTAATTGATATGTTTGGTTTATACTTAAACAAAACAACATTCAAAGAGAATAATTCATTCAGGACCTTAACCCTAGACAGACCTTCACTACTTAAGGCCTATATCAATGATTTGCATTTGATAATAAAAAAATCAGGTTTGTTGCGTCTCTTGATTTAGGAATCAAACCTTTTTGAGGAGGTATTTATCACATTCAATTAATGAGAGTTTTGGGTTTATTTTATTAAGTAAATAAATTGCGTATATGTTGAATATTGGCCATCTGCTCCTGATTCAGTGTTGTTGACAAATTGGCGAAGCGGATATGAAACATGGTTGGACTGACACACGTAAACGCATGTGTGATCTTTAGAAAGGCACATAGGAAATAATGACAACAAATACCCTGTAATAGAATGACGATTTTATTAGCTGTTAAAAGGTGTGTTTGTAACAAAGAATATAAAGTTATGAAACGTAGCATCTCACAGTAATAAGGAATAAAAAAGAAATACAAATCTCATTTCTTTAAGTCTTTTTCTAACATAATAAGCATTTTTAATACGAGAAGAGATATATATAAAGTCACACAATTACAAGCGATATAAAGTAAAACAATTTTAAGCGATATTAAGTCACACAATTACAAGCGATATAAAGTCACACAATTATAAGCGATATTAATTAAGTCACACAATTACAAGCGATATAAAGTCATACAATTACAAGCGATATAAAGTTATACAATTACAAGCGATATAAAGTCATACAATGAATAGCGACATTAAGTCATACAATTACAAGCGATATAAAGTCATACAATTATAAGCGATATGGAGTCATACAATTACAAGCGATATAAAATCATACAATTACATGCGATATAAAGTCACATAATTACAAGTGATATAAAGCCAAACCATTACAAGCGATATTTAAAGTTACATTATTACAAGCGATATTTAAAGTTACATTATTACAAGCGATATTTAAAGTTACACAATTACAAGCTATATAAAGTCATACAATGACAAGCGACATAAAGTCATACAATTACAAGCGATATAAAGTCATACAATTACAAGCGAAATAAAGTCATACAATTACAAGCGATATAAAGTCATGCAATTACAAGCGATATAAAATCACACAATTACAAGCAATATAAAGTCAAACAATTACAAGCGAAATAAAGTCATACAATTTCAAGCGATATAAAGTCATACAATTATAAGCGATATTAAGTCATACAATTAAAAGCGATATAAAGTCATACAATTACAAGCGATATTA